TTTTTGCCGTTCTAACTGGGGTGAGGTGATATCTCAATGTTGTTTTGATTTGCATTTCTTTTATGGCTAGGGATGTTGAACATTTCTTCATGTGTTTATTGGCCATCCTTCTTTCTTCTTCAGAGAAGTTTCTCTTTAAGTCTTTCACCCATTTATTTATTGGGCAGTTGTTTCTTTGAGGATTTGTTCCAACCCTATTTTTTTAAGTTAACAGTTAATTTATAATTGTCCAGAGAAATACAAAGGGGAAATAAAATTTTCCACATGAGCAGTATTTATAGGAAGCCAGACTTCATCTCAGACCTCAGGTGGGAAATGAACGCTTGAGCTGAGGATGTAACTATGGAAAGGATGTTCAGAGGTAGCAGCAAAAGAGCTGTGGGATGAAGGGCCACATTCTGATCTGGGGGACATGGGGCTCAGTAAAACTGGAAGCTACCATTAAGTAAAGGAAGGGGTGAAGGGGAAAAAGATTATGAAGCAAAAAAGGGGGGATGCATAATGCAGGGTCTGCCTGGTAGGTCTTATTAGTGATTTTGATATTTTATTAAGAGTTCTAGGTGCTATTAACAGGACTTGCATTCATGTTGGGTTAGCAAAGAGTGCTCTGTCTGCAGTGAAAGGAGAAATTGGAAGAAAGAAAATACAAAGTTGAGGATCTAAGAAAGGATGTGCTTATGGATTATGGCTTAAAGGAGAGGGAATAAGAGACAGAGATCAGGATTTTGGAAGCAAAACATGACACCATCTAATGAGTGATTGAATAGATGGACAGGACAAAGAGAGCAGAGCAGACAAGACTCAATAATTTTGTTCTGAATACCGGGCGAGAGAGTCACAATGACATTAGTGATGAGGATTAGAGCAAAATGGAGAAATGTGAAGGGAAAGACATACTGAAGGAAAGGAAAGTGGAACTTGGATCCAATGTAGTCTTTCCATGGGAATGGAGTCTGGTTTGCTCTAGTGAATTATGGGCTTCTCCAGGCTTATTTTCTTTCTGGGGTCCAGACCTCACTAAAGTCTCTCCTTTCCTCTGCCTCCCGTACCCCTTCCTCACTATAGGAAGAACGCCGTGTGATTTACGTTGGCAAAATCAGACCTGACACAACACGGACAGAACTGAGGGACCGCTTTGAAGTTTTTGGTGAAATTGAGGAGTGCACTGTAAATCTGCGGGATGATGGGTGAGGATCTTCAAGATTATTTCTTGTTTAGAGGCTGACGTATGTTAAAAATTATGGCTCTAAGATGACTGGGATGGGAGTTGCCAATGTAAGTGCTTTGACAGATGACATGTTGAGTTCAGAACCTTATTTATTTTCTTTCATCCCTATTTATTAATCTTTCTAGTTGAGATTTTTCCTGTCTCAGAAATAAGTATTTAGCAGCTTGACAGGACAATCACACTGATAAATGGCTGCAGTGGCTGAGGCTTTAGCGCCTGTGACGTCTCCCAAAGCAGAAGGGCTTACAGTCTTCCCTGCACTGACTGTGTCTTCTCTGTCCATTCCAGAGACAGCTATGGCTTCATCACCTACCGTTACACCTGTGATGCTTTTGCCGCTCTTGAGAATGGATACACTCTGCGCAGGTCGAACGAAAGCGACTTTGAGCTGTACTTTTGTGGACGCAAGCAATTTGTCAAGTCTAACTATGCAGATCTAGGTATGGCTTTTATTGCACATGGAATGAAAAACCCATTTGAGAAAAAAAAAACACTCAGAAATGGAAGCCACACACTGAGCGGGCCCCTTGGGTGCGAGTGTCACACTTATTTTACCAGAGGTGGTAGGGGAGATGTTTGAATACCAATATTTTTTTAATTTTTTCATTTATTTATTTTGGTTGTGAAGGTACTAGAGTGTGAACTCAGGGCTTTTGTGCTCTTGATTAGGATTCTTTTGCTCTACCACTTGTGCCAAACTTCCATTTCTGGCTTTTGGTTGGATATTTGGAGATAAGAATCTCTGGCATTTGCCTGGACTCTTTGTGCCATGATCTTCTTATCTCAGCCTCCTGAGTAGTTAAGATTACAGGCATGAGTCAATAGTACCTATCTCAACTAATACTGTTTTTACACATGTGACTTAATTTTAGAAGCAAGGGGCCTACTCCTAGCAACACAGGGCAGATACTGCTTGTGTTGTCTGCACCATTTGTGTATATATTTATAGAAGGTATTGTGCTTTGTATGTAGTAAAATTTGTATGTTTTATGTGTTGTTTATGTGTGTGTGTATATATATATATATGTATATATATAATGTGTATATAATGTGTGTTTGTAATCTGCTTTTGCTTTCCGTAACTATTCTCAATTCTTTAGTACAAACCACAGTATGGCCACAGTGGGCTTAGGGAAGAGAATATGCTCAGTGTAAGCCCCTTGCTTCTGAAGTTACTTCATAGGTTAAAAAAAAATCTGAGCCAGGCACTGGTGGCTCTTTTCTCCTCATTATTTCACAAGCTCTTAGGAAAACTGTCATTTTCCATGAATTACAATGAGAGGAGAAAGTAAAATTTCATATGGTAAATGATCCTGTGCTCACTTTCTTTAGAACAGAAGACACAAACCCTATTATTTGGTGAGTGCTTTCCTGTGCTAGAACAGAAGGCCAGGAGTTCTAAAAACATTTTCTCATTTGCTTCACAAGATTATTCTAAGAGGTGGACATTACTGTTATCATCCCCATTTTCAAATAATGAAAGGGAGACATAAATAAATATTTGTTTTTCCTGTTATGAAAGCTGGATAAAAATAGTTAAGAAGAAAAGTAAAATCACCCATCAGCCCATTCTCAAGCACTAACCACAACTAATAAATGAATGAGCTAGCTTACACTATTTTGCCTAATACCTTATTTCCAGGCCACTTTATACATATATTTTATACACATACGCATGCATACACACACATATGTTCTGCTGTTTCTTAACACTCTAAGTTCACTTCCTGTGAGTCACAGAGTCATATTTCATTAATACATCATAGTGATCTCCTAGCATTTTGTTGAACAAATTTTATCATTAGACTCAATTATTTTATAACAGCCACATGTGTACAATGCAATTTTAATTTTTTTGGGGTCCAGTCGTGGGGCCTGAACTCTGGGCCTGAGTGCTGTCCCTCAGCTCTTCAGCTCAAGGCTAGCGCTCTACCACTTGAGCCACAGCGCCACTTCCGGCTTTTTTCTTTTTGCTTATGTGGTGCTGAGGAATTACCTCAGGGCCTCAGGCATGCAAGGCAAGCGCTCTACCACTGAGCCACCTTCCCAGACCTAATTTAAAATTTTTTAATATATTTATTATCTTTAAGTAGTGGTACGGAGACGTTGCCATTCACCAAAGCAGTTTATGAATATAGTATATCTTGATCAATGTCACCCCTTTCAATGTTTTTGCCATTTAACAAAGCAGTTTCATGTTTACAATGCTTTTTTTTTTTTTTGGTCGGTCATGAACTCTAGGCCTGGGCTCAAGGCTAGTGCTCTACCACTTGAACCAAAGCGCCACTTCCAGTTTTCTGGTGGTTTATTGGAGATAAGAGTCTCATGGACTTTTCTGCCTGGGCTGGCTTTGAACTGTGATCCTCAGATCTCAGCCTCCTAAGTAGCTAAGATTACAGGCGAGAGCCACCAGCTCCTGGCTTATACAATGCATCTTGATCTGTCTCATCACTTCAATCTGCTAACTACCTTTCTACCCACCCCTTCCAAGATATATATGTATAGATATATGTAATTTTTGATATTATAAATAATGTCACACTTGACATCTTAATTTCCTTTGTAGCTTTAATTTTGTTCTATCAAATACCATTCCCAATGTGTATATTAGAAGCCTTTAAATTTTCATGAGGAGGGAATGAAGGAAGGAAAGTGGCAAATGGGACGTAATTATTTGAAGTTAATTTATAATATGAGGGAAATTAGCCTGTACATGTATTCCTCGGTATTATTAGACATCTACCTGCAATTGTTCTGGCTGGAGATAAAGAAATGAACACCGAGTGAGTGCTGGGGTTTCTTTTTTCCCTTGCAACAAAGTGATGTCTTCCCAGAGTAATTGATCTAGGTGCTGTGCATTGTTCAGAGGAAATATGCTATAATTCACTTCTCAGGCTAAATAGATAGTGGAGACAGGGGAGAGGCAGCTGACTGTTAGCGAGATAGAGGCCTAGGGATGAAAATATAAAATGTGGCAAGTCATTTGTTCAAATGTTGGCTGATAAAAACAGTCAAGACAGATTGGAGCCTTGAGTTGATTTGACTTATTTTATTTATTTATTTTTTTTTTTAGTGATGAAGGCTAGGGTGATTCTGGCCTCCCCAAACATCTTGAGTTTAAAATAAGCTACCTAGAGGGGCCTTCAGATCATGATTCATCATGGTCGAGGAGGATTGGATGGTATTTCCAAATTGAACTGGCACCTCCCTGAAATATTTCGAAGAAGAATGCTTCCTCTCTCGTTATCTCCCTGCCTAGCCGGCAGCCATCGAGACTTCACCATTTCTAAGCTTGTTCCACATTTTCTGAAAAGTGTATTGGATGTGCATTGTAGTAGCAAGGGATTTTCCAATCGCCTCAAGCACTTCAGTGGCATGAGCGATAGACTTTCTGAGCATGCATTCCAAAGAACATTGGCTGTAGAGACCTGTCATCTCTGACTTAAAGCATTTTAACTCCATTAGCTTCTGCTTCTTTCCTTGTAAACTATCTTAGTGGTGTTATGGAGAAATATTAATTACATCTGAAGCTGTTAACACAGTGGCTGGCATAATATAAGTGCTCAATAAATAGTTGGTGTGCCTATAATTTAAAATGTTAGCTGTGAGAAGTTAGACATTTAGAATTCTTTTGAAAGGGAAGAGTCAACAATAGTGGTAGTTATGAAATCGAGGGACATTTTGATGTCTTGTTTTTATTCCCTAAAGGGCTCAAGTTGAATGATTCAAACATGTGTGAGCACAAACTTTCATGAGCATAACCATAGAAAGAACACCAGGTTCTGGTGTCTCACACTTGTAATCCTAGCCACTAAGGAGACTGAAATCTGAGGGTCCAGGTTCAAAGCCAGCCGAGGCAGAAAAATCCATGAAACTCTTGTCTCTAATTCTCTAGCAAAAGGTTAGAAATGAAGCTTTGGCTCAAGTAGTAGAGTGCTATTCCTGGGCCAAAAACTAAGCGACAGCTCTCAGATGCTGAGTTCAGCCCTGGTACCCAGAAAAATATAGATAGATGATAAATAGATAAACAGAAAATATATCTACTCAGAGAAATTAGAAACATATGTATGCTCAGGGGTATATTGAAAAGGATGTGATACATGTTAAATTTACTAAGTCAGTAATGTGACATCATTTTAGACACATTCAGGCAATATCTTTTTGCTATATTTATTTGATCCTCTAAATAAAGATAGCTCACACATTCTATTTCTCAGCCATTGAAACCAGTTAAGGATGCATACATTATTATTACAGCAAAGCATAATGATCCAGCTTCTACTTTTGAGACTGTAAGTTTAATGTGACTTGATCAAGGCTATGATAATGAAGCCAAGGTGTGAGACCTGATTTATATGAATCTCTAATCTGTGTTTCTTTTGTTTGTTTGTTTGTTTATATCTTAAACAAATGAATCTTTCTAAAACACCTTGATCAAAATATTAAAGAAGACAGGATTGGAATAAAAAGATGGGTTAATATTACAACAGGCTTGATCAGGACAAAGATGTAGTACAGAACTTACATTTAAGCATAGAAGAAAAAGTAACATAAAAATTCATCACAGACCGTTTATTAACTCTAAACAATGTACTGCATAATCAACGTCTGGAATGCATACATAATTTTACATATACCTTGCAACTGATTGATAAATCATTCTCAGATCCCAATACAAATATTTTCAGCCATGGCTTTTAATAATAGGCAGGTGTTTGAGATTAATATATTCTTTCAACAAACATTAATTTGAGTCCCTTACCTTGTGCTAAAGGTTTTCCAGGTGCTAGGAATACAAATGTGATGTGATTTGTTTCTATTAATACCGGATCATTATTTATAACAATTTCTCTGGAAAAATAATTAGAGTAGCTTTCTAACATCCTCCTGTTAGTGCAGTAGAACATGGGAGAGAGGATGCTGTTGTTGCCTCAGGAATTGAAGGCAACCACATTATATCTCAACACAAAAGGTTCTTGTAAGTGGGTATATACATGTGTACACTATTTTACAGTCAAGGATCTCTCAAGGCTGCGCTTCCATAGGGGTTGTAATATTTGCCCAAGAAAATACAGATATGCGAAAACTCTAGGCTTCACTTAGAATAATACAGGGGTAGGCTTTTCTGCTTCCTCTCAAATTTCCACAATGGAATTATAATCATCTATTAGAAAGATAGAGATTGTTCCATTTGTGTGGAAATGCAAAGACCAGAAAAGACTATATAGTAGGGGAAGTAAGCCAGACACAGAGAGACAAAGGTTGAAAGGTTTCTCTCATGTGTGGCAGATAGAATGTGCCTAGAAATCTATAAGCAAATACACTGGGTGATATGCAAGTGATTACAAATAAATTAACAGAAGTATGAAAACCTCTATGAAGAGCTCCAATAGTATAATCTTTTTGGAAAGATCACATCAAAGCCCAACAAAATCAATACCAGGAAATGGGTACATCTAAGAGGGGGTGGAGCCAGGAGGAGAGAGGAAGAGGAAGGAAGGGAGTAAGGGGAGGAGCATGCAGTAGAGCATATTCATTGTGTCTATCACAAAAAAAACAAAAAACAAAAAAAAGTAAGGGAAAGGGTGGGTCCAAGTGAAATAAAAATGTTGAAAGGGGTGCCACTGATCAAGATGCATTGTGCCCCTAAACTGATTTTTTATCTGGCACCTCCTTAATACAAATAATTAAAGATAATTTAAAAAGTAAATTAAGCTGTGCGCCAATGGCTCCTAGCTACTCAGGAGGCTGAGATCTGAGGATCACAGTTTGAAGCCAGCCCAGGCAGGAAAGTCTGTGAGACTCTTATCTCCAATTAACCACCAGAAAAATAGCCAGAAGTGGTGCTGTGTGGTGGCTCAAGTGATATGCTAGCCTTGAGCACAAAGAGGCTCAGAGACAGCACCCAGGCCCTGAGTTAAAGCCACAGGACCAGCTAAAACTAAATAAGTAAATAAAAATTAAATCATTAAAAAAGTCCTTCCCAGGAAAGGTTTCCTGATGCACGCTTATCCCATAGACCACCCTCCTGAATCTTCCATCCTGAGACACAATGGTGTTCTGACTTCAAACCAATCCCTGTACAGAGCTAGAATTTCCTTGTTTTGTCTCTACACAAAAGATTTTTGAATTGAAAACAAGCTGGTCATGAAAACCTCTGTAATACAAGTAAACACCATTTAGTTGGTGGCCATGAGGAGAAAAGGTAGAAGCTTGTGTGGTTTAAGAATTAATGATTTGGGCTGGGAAGGTGGCTCAGTGGTAGAGCGCTTGCTTTGCATGCATGAGGCCCTGGGTTCGATTCCCCAGCACCACATAAGCAAAAAGGAAAAAAGCCGGAAGTGGTGCTGTGGCTCAAGTGGTAGAGCGCTAGCCTTGAGCTGAAGAGCTGAGGGACAGCGCCCAGGCCCAGAGTTCAGGCCCACGACCGGACCCCCCCCCCAAAAAAAATAAAAAGAATTGATTATTTAAGATGCTGTTGAGGAAGACTGTCCTTTTCCTCTGCCTTGCTTTTATGTCGGAGGAAGCTTGTCATTGTTGTTGTTCCTACATGGCCAAAAGAAGAAGAAAAAGAAACAAAAAAACTTCTTGGAAAAAGTCAACAATCAAGGATGGTAGAATGATTTTTTTTCAGTCAGTCATGAGCCTGAACTCTGGGCCTGGACATTGTCCCTCAGCTCTGCAGCTCAAGGCTAGTGCTTTACCACTTGAGCCACAGTGCCACTTGTGGCTTTTTCTGCTTATGTGGTGCTGAGGAATTGAACCCAGGGCCTCATGCATGCAATGCAAGCACTTTACCACTGAGCCACCTTCCCAGAATGAATTTTTTGTTTGTTTTTTAAATGGAAGAACACCTTGTCGAAATATTGAAAATTGACTGAAACATGGTGGGAACAGAAATCAGGCTGAGCTAAAACACTTGGAGCCTTATGATTTCTTCCCTTTTATGGTCCTGGGAATTAAAGTCAAATGTACTTTCACCTAGCTAAACTCCTTGTCTCTGCAAAACATTTTCTGTTTTCTTTTTGGGAGCATATCTGGCTTGAACTTAGGGCCTCATGTTTGTGAGGCAGGTATGCTACCACTTGAGCCACTCTACCAGATCTTCTGGTGGTTGTTATATTAAAGGTAGGGTATTGCTTTATACCCATGCTGACCTAGATTGCAATCCTCATATTTGGTTTTCCTCACTGCTTAAACTCCCGTCTCCCTATTTCTGTCTCCCAAGTTCCTAGAATTACAGGCTTGAGCCATTGTGCCTGGTGCAAAATATTTATATCAATAATTTAGCTTCAATTTTTTTATAATTATACTTTTCCCTCACTTGAAGCATTTCTATTGTAACCTAGGAAAAAGTAGACAATGTTCATATATTTTGTATAATTGTTAATATATTCCAGAAAGGTTTTGCCTCCTTTTCTAATAATTGTTTTACAAAGAAGGAATATAATTTCAAAAGACTTGTGGATACTCCCAAGCCATCCTTTCTTACTTGTAAGACTAGCAAGAAATATCTGACGTTCTCAGATACCAGTGGAGAAACATCAGAAATATTTAATGACATTGAACTTTCATCATTGCTGAAAAAAATCACTTTTTTTGGTTAAGGAGTACTTGAACTAGCTTGTGCACATTTTCATAAAACCTGACTTAAACTAGTTCAGAGATCTAACAAAGAATGTGGTTTTATATATACCAGCATACTTTCCTTCTCCCTTTAACAGTGAAGAGGTGGAATCTACCCTCCTGGAGTAGGAAGTACTTTCCTAGGCTTTTCATGGGGGAAAGTTTGCACGCGATTGTGTTGACCAGTTGACCAGATTGTGATGAGATGATGCTCCTCCCTCTCATTCACATGGCTTTTATACTCCATACAACAAATCCCATTGTAAAGGGAAATCATTTCCAGCTTCTACTTGTTCCTCTGTGTCTACATTATTGAGGAACAACTTAGCCTGTCAGGATGAAGATACAGATAGGGTGGCCATCTGTGAAGCAGAGATATTGAAGTATGCTCTGCCTATATCCTAGGAGTATTCATATCTAAAACAAGTCAACAAGGGTGCATTCATTCATTCATTCATTCATTTAACATTTCTTTATTTATCTTATTACCCTTAAGTAGTTGTGTAAAGTGGTTTCAATTGGACATGTCAGAGTGTGAGTCTACTGCATCTTGATCAGCGTCACCCCTTACCTCATTCTGTCATGTTTCTGAGTGCTCTCCACTGCGTCCTCTGTTAATCTACATGCAAATCTGGGCATGATGTACATTGAGTAGCTAAATTGCAGTGACCTCCTTTAATCTTAAATCAAACATCATGTTGATGGTGGTCAAGAAAAGGGTCCATCTAACCCCTAGTTTGGGTCTCTTTCAGATTCAAACTCAGATGACTTTGACCCTGCTTCCACCAAGAGCAAGTATGACTCTCTGGATTTTGATAGTTTATTGAAAGAAGCTCAGAGAAGCTTGCGCAGGTAACGTGTCCCCCTGGCTGAGGATGAGAGAGAGAGAGACGGGGAATACCTCACGGACAGCGCGTCCTTCCCTGACAGACTATTGCAAGTCACACTTAGAAATCTCTCCTACTTTACACACTCTGTACAAAAGCAAAACAAAACAACAACAATACAACAAGAACAACCACAGCAACAACAACAATGGTTTACATGAACACAGCTGCTGAAGAGGCAAGAGACAGAAAAAAAAATATCCAGTAAGCACATGTATATTCATGGGTGTCAGCTTTGCTTTCCCTGAAGTCTCTCAGTGACTGTGTGTATGTATGTGTGTGTGCATGCGTGCATGCGCGCATGCACGTGCACATGCATATGTGGCTTGGGAAAATGTGTGTGTGTGTGTGTGTGTGTGTGTGTGTGTGGTGTGTGTGTATATGCGAGCATTGGGGACACCTGAGTGGAACGTGCAAGGGCAAACCACTTCAAATGGCAGCAGTTCCATGAAGACACACTTAAAACCTAGAACTTCAAAATGTTCATATTCTATACAAAAGGAGATATTATATATATATAGATATAGATAGATAGATATATCTATAAACTTAAAAAGGAAAGAAAACTAACCATCAAACCACAAACCACCCTAAAACGACACTGCTGATGTCCGGCATCAGCCTCTGTACTGATTTTTTAAAAAAGTGCAAAACCAACTTGAAGCAAGCTTTCTCTCATAACACACCGACTCTGACAATCCCGAAGGAAACCACAGGTTCCACCGAACTAATATCCTCTCTCTCTGTCTCTCTCCCTCCCTGTCTCCCTCTCTATATCCCTCCTTCTCTCTCTCTTTCTCTCCCTCCTTCACTCCACCCCTCTCTCTCTCTCTCCCTCTCTCCCTCTTTCCCTCCCTTTCTTCTTTTTTTCCCTTTTGCCATGGAATCTTGGTGGGAGAGGTAACTGCAGGCACCAGAATGCTAAACTTTCCTAACATTTTGAAGTTTCTGTAGTTCATCCTTGTCCTGACACCCATGTAAAATGTCCAAAATGTTGATCTCTTCCACCGCAGATTTTAAAAGCCTTGTCAATGGTCAAGCAGGCAGCGTGTTCAGCAGCTCCCTCTGAGGAGCGGACACGATGTTATAAAATTGATGAGAGTCGATCAGAACTCTCTGGGTGTGTTCCGATAGTGTCACTGCTGCATTCTCTGATGTAGTTAAGTATTTACAGATGTTAAATGGAGTATTTTTATTTTATGTATATACTATACAACGATGTTCTTCTTTTGTTACAGCTATGCACTGTAAATGCAGCCTTCTTTTCAAAAACTGCTCAATTTTTCTTAATCAAGAATATTCAAATGTAATTATGAGGTGAAACAATTATTGTACACTAACCTATTTAGAAGCTGAACTTACTGCTTATATATATATTTGATTGTAAAAACAAAAACAACCAAACAACACAAAAGACAGTGTGTATGTCCATTGAGTGCAACCACAACCAATGATGCTTTACGTACTTCATCCCTTCCTAGGTACGCTTCGATCTAAACATCTTGTCAAAAAGAAAAAATATCCTAGTTCCCTAAAGGTATTAACTACTTCTGCGATATTTTTCCACATTTTCTTGTTGCTTGTTTTTCTTTGAAGTTTTATACACTGGATTTGTTAGGGGAATGAAATTTTCTCATCTAAAATTTTTCTAGAAGATACCATGATTTTATGTAAAGTCTCTCAATGGGTAACCATTACAAAATGTTTTTATTTTCTCTATCAACAGTAGTTTTGAAACTAGAGGTCAAAAATCTTTTTAAAATGCTGTTCTGTTTTAATTTTTTGTGATTTTAATTTGATACAAAATGCTGAAGTAATAATTACAGTATGATTTTTACAATAATTAATGTGTGTCTGAAGACTATCTTTGAAGCCAGTATCTCTTTCCCTTGGCAGAGTATGATGATGGTATCTATCTGTATTTTTTATAGTTATGCATCCTGTATAAATACTGATATTTCATTCCTTTGTTTACTAAAGAGACATATTTATCAGTTGCAGATAGCCTATTTATTATAAATTATGAGCTGATGAAAATAATAAAGCCAGTGGAAATTTTCTACCTAGGATGCATGGCAGTTGTCAGGTTGGAGTGTAAGTTGTTCTTTTGGGAAAAAAAAAAAAAAAAAACCTCGGCTTTTGCAGAAGCAGTGTGCTTAATTGCACTCGCATGGCCTCTGACGTGACCATCATGTTGTTTCTTGATGACATTGCTTCTGCTAAATTCAATAATAAAAAAAAAATACCTTCAGAAAACAACCTTCATTCCGACCATCTGGATTTCGTCTCAGTCTGGAGTCCCAGCTATGGAATTCCCTAAAGTTTGGAATTGTGTATTCAAGTTTCCAAATTGAGATTTGGTTGCTGTTCGGCTGACATGACTTTTCTGGAAGATGTGTGATACCTACTACTTAATGGTACTTTTTTTTCCTTTCTCTCACCCAACACGATCTTATGAGATGGGTTTCACCCCCAGGCCGATGCAGCTAATTTGATAGCTGCGTTCATTTATCACCAGCATATTGTGTTCTGAGTGGATCCACCGTCTGTCCTGTCGGATGCTTGCTCGAGTTTTTTGGCTTCTTATTTCTAAGTAGATAGAAAGCAATAAAAAAAATACTATGAAATAAAAGAACTTTGTTCACAGGTTCTGCGTTACAATAGTAACACATCTTTAATCCGCCTAATTCTTGCTGTTCTGTAGGTTAAATGCAGGTATTTTAACTCTTTGTGAACGCCAAACTCAAGTTTACAGTCTTTCTTTCTGAATTTTGAGTATCTTCTGTTGTAGAATAATAATAAAAAGACTATTAAGAGCAATAAATTATTTTTAAGAAATCGATATTTAGTAAATCCTATTATGTGTCCAAGGACCAGATGCGTTCTCTATTTTGCCTTTCAATATATGTGATCCAATTTTAAATACATTCGCTCTTTATTTTTTTCCCCTGAATTGTTGACATGAGTGAGCTACTTGGTTTCTTTCTTTACTTATCGAGAGGTAACACTATAGATGTCATGGTGAGGATTAATTTATCCCCCCGACTTTGGGCCTGACGAATATTGTTCCCATGAAGAGAGTTTTCCTCTGTGACCTCAAATTATATCTAAAAATGAGTGGAGCTCTCATATCTTATGCAGACACTGTGGGTAACCCATCAAACTGTAAGCTGTGTTCTTTTGAATTTTTTAAAAATCTTTTTGAGGGGGAAAAGAATATTTCAATAGGGCACATGCACCCCATTATCATTGGAAGCAAATTTTGGCATAGATCTATAGGAGATATTTTAGATGACCGTGGGCCATTGCCTTCGTACTGTGTGGTTAAGTACCACATCAACAATTTCGGTGACTGAACTGGTGCTTTTGAAATGTGGGGGTTTTCACTAAAGAGATGAAGCAGAAAATAATTCTTCCAGTGCAACACAATCCTATTTTTTTTCTTTTCTTGCTAAACAACTCTGTGAACAACAGTTGAGCTGTCAACATTCAAGCAGCAGAGAGGAAACTTTGCACTATTGGGGGTATGATGCTTAGGTCAGCTGGAAAAAAAAAGAAGCCTTTTCATGCCTTTAGATGTGAGCTTACAGTAGGTAATGATTATGTGTCCTTTTTTTCTGATGGCTGTAACGAGAACTTCAATCACTGTAGTCTAAGACCTGATCTATAGATGACCTAGAATAGCCATGTGATATAATGTGATGATTCTAAATTTGTACCTATGTGACAGACATTTTCAATAATGTGAACTGCTGATTTGATGGAGCTACTTTAAGATTTGTAGGTGAAAGTGTAACACTGTCGGTTGAACTTAATGCTGAAGGGAAAGTGAGCGATGAGTTGAGCCCTGACTGGGCTCCTTTTCCACCTGCCAATTCTACATGTATTGTTGTGGTTTTATTCATTGTATGAAAATTCCTGTGATTTTTTTTAAATGTGCAGTACACATCAGCCTCACTGAGCTAATAAAGGGAAACGAATGTTTCAAACCTACTTCTGCTTTTCTTATTTATCGGAACCAAACTGCTGGTCACGTTTCTCAGATCAGTACACATTACTGGCTTATAATTATTCTCGTTCCTCTCTGGCTGCTTCTCCCTTCCTCCCTTCATTTCCATATTCATGGACGCATTTCAGTTCTGAGGAACCAGGCACCTCTTGTGTTTTACCTTGTCTTCTTTCAAACCATAGGGGTAGATAGACATGATGATTTCTATAATGCACTTTGAGAGGTGGAAAGTGACCTGAGATTTTACCAAATGGATTATCTCATTTTTGCATTTCACCCTGGAAAGTGTGTATTTTTAAATTATGAGCTATTTCCTGTAAGGAGAAGGCAGCCACATATTCAGTGTAGAAAGCGATCCTGTGCTACATGGATTTGAGTATTTGTATTTTCAAAGACTGGAATCAAGATCTAGTCCTCATTATGGTCAAGTCACCAGGTGGCAAATAGGATGAGCAGCTATGTATGAGATGAGTTGGTACCTGCTGGCCTGCAGTGCCAACAGGATGCCCATCCTGCCTGGTATTTGATGATGGTCCTAATGAAAGACTGAAATACTAGTACTTTACCTTTCTGATTTCAGATGGTTATTTCTCCTCAACCACTTAAAGTTGCAAGATGGAGCATGAACATAGCATTGGGGAACAGTGACTCTCTTTTTCTCCCTCTTTCCCTCCCTATTTCTCTCTCTCACTCTCTCTCTCTCTCTCTATATATATATATGCATATATCCAAATATGTGTGTGTACATATATATATTCCTGTCCTTGTCTCAATATCTCTTAGAAAGACCAGAAAGTTTGTTAATATTAGAAATATAATAGAACCATCAACAGTGCTTTAAAAATCTTCTACTTAGTAGCACGCTTCTATTATTTTATACCAGTAGTGAAATTTGTCAGTCATTTTTGTGAACATAGAAAATAAAACTTGTTACATTCATCTACAACTGTGGATACTCAGGAGTTCTAGATTCCAGCTGAATAAGCTAGACCCTGTTTTGTCTTCTGGTTTAAATTGTCTAGAATATTCCTCATCATCTGGCTAGAAACAACCAGGAAATTAAAATATTGCAAGTCTTCCTTAAACAAGTCACTTTTCCCCCTGTTAAACTCTTTGAGGGCAGAAAGAAAATGAGGCATTTTTAAGACTCACAAGGAACCATAACCACTAGTTTGGTTCTGATCAGAGACAAAAGGATTCATTTCATACTATCCTCAAAACATCAAACCACCTCTATCTTTGATGAACCCCAAACTAAAAACACAGTTGACATAGATAATTTAAAAAGAGCCTGTTTCATTTTTAAAAAAACCTTCAAAACTAAATCTATTTGAACTAACTGAGCAGGGATAAGGAATTAAAATTTCTTTTATAGCATTACCAGTTTTCTCTTCTTTGTAGGGTTATTTAGCTAATCATGGTTGTAATTTACAGTGTTAACAGTATTATTATACTCATTTGACACTAGTGTTCCAAGCTACAAAGTTATAAGTCAGTATTGATTACAGAATAGTTTGACCAAAGTGTACTTTTTTGACAATATTTACTTATATACTTTGTTATTCTCCTTGGTATTCCTTGTTGAACATACAATATATAAATATAAATCAATCTTTGCATTTTATCAAATGGCACAGAGTAATAAAGAAGGTCACAACTCATCGAAGAGTTCCTTTGAGGTTTGTAATATTATGATTTAAATCTCAACAAAGATTTAATCAAAAGCTGAATTAATCCTTGGGGGAAATGATGCTGTATAGGCTCCATTGTTGGGTACAGAGTAGCTTTTTACTTTGTACTGGTCTCTGAACATGTTCAGAAAAAGAATTTAGGGGCTTCCTTTTGTTGTTTATTTGATTGTTTATGGTAAAAAAAACATGGCTTCCTTAGTGAGGGAAGGAAAAATGTACAATACCTTTAATATTGTCAATACCTGTATCATAATTCTTTTCTTCCATGGCTTGTTTTATTCTGCTTACTGTGGCATTATCTGTTCTTCAAGTGCATGGTAAAGGTAAATACCCTTCACCTTCTTGTCCCCCTCAAAGTATCCCATGTGACCACAGGAGTTGTTCAGAGTCCCCAAAGTGGCACTCCAGTCAAGCATGTGGAATGTGTGGGTCACATGGGCTGCTTTCCAGATCCTTCCTGTATAATCAGGTGACAGCTCAAGGGCAAATTCTCAGTGTGGGAGGACACTAAGAACTTGCCAGAAGAAATGAACATAAAATCCAGGTATTTTGAGGAGCAGGTTCTACAGAGAAGTCAGGTATTGTTCCACATCCAGGGCCAAGAGGCCGCCAGCTTCCCACATGCCGTCTTTCTGCTCCTAAGTCTACATTCAGGTGACCATATCCCTTTGAGCTGAACATGTGCTGGTTCCCACCAGCTGACTTACGAAAGGGGCAAAGTGGAATTAATTAGTTGAAAAAAAGTGAGAGAACTTTTAGAGGAGAAAGACCAAATGATCCCATCATATTTTCGTGATTAAATTAAATGAGCATAATTATACATGCACATATGCACACCAAGGCATTATTATAATCAAGAGCCTTGAAATATTGTATTGTTTGAAATTTACGCCTATGCCACTTACTGAAGGCAAGTAGCTAGTGTGATATTTGAATCTGCATATTGACCATTTTCATATATTAATTTCTAGTAAGAAGAATCTCAATTTTTAGGGAAAAAAATCCTGGGGTGATTTAGAAAAAAGAAATTGTGCTTCTGTTGGTTTCTTGACTATCAGGGGCACTTAGCAACATTATTTTTTTATTCACATAGTTTTCTGTGATGGATTTTCAACAAGATGACATCGAAGTGAAAGCTGACATTAAGTGGGAAGGAATGAATGTTAAGTGGTAAAATCCTAGATAGCTTATTAGACTACTTAATTGGAGGGAATTTATTTTTGCTGCTGTTAGGAAGTCTATAGTCAAGCTTCTCTTTTACAGTACAAATTGGTGGGGGGCAGGAGGAGTATGGTGGAGAGTAGTTATGGTAGTATTGTTACCACACACAATACCCTCTGGCAAGTCATTGAAGGAAAGTCACAGGTACTTTCCGTTGACTGACTTGGGTAGAGTTGAAGATCCATTTCTGGCTTCATCTGTTTCATTGCTTTCTCTCTTCATTTCCAAACAGGCCCCTTGCTTATTCTGATCCTAGCTTCACAGTACATTTAAAGGACTTACTTTTTTTTTTTTTTTTGGTTGGTCATAGGGCCTGAACTCTGGGCCTAGGCGCTGTCCCACAGCTTTTCAGCTCAAGGCTAGCTCTCTACTACTTGAGCCACAGCACCACTTCTGGCTTTTTCTGTTTATGTGGTGCTGAGGAATTGAACCTAGGGCCTCATGCATGTGAGGTAAGCACTCTACCACTGAGCCGCCTTCCCAGCCTTGAAGGACTTACTTAATTCTTAAAGTGAAGTCATACTTGCTCCCAGTTTAACCAGTCAGCAGAACTTTAGTTTCATATGAACCCCCTATTTAAATTCGTAGCTAAAATCCCATAGTGCTTTAGAGATAATGCCCTGGCTCAGTGCTTCTTCATTTGTTGGCAAGGATATGATGCTCACTATCCCAGAAGGATGTTCAGTTCCCATATAGACACAGGGGAATGAGTAAATGGGTCACATACTGTATTGTGTGGCCTTAGGAATTTCATGCCAGGTAACTCCTTGGTCAAGAGTGATGCATGATCCACTTCTACTACACTTACCTGGACACATGGGGAAAGCATCTTACTGCCCTTTAAGGAGCTATTTTTCTCAGAGTGGACTATCTGAATCCAACAGGAGAAAACTGGAGGGAAGGCAGAAGTTGGAGTGCCCTTCCCATTGCTTGGCTTTAGCACCTGGTAAGGGATGTACCTGTGTGTCAGGGTGATGTTGTATGGTGGCACACAAAGGGAGTGCCAGAGCATGCACCCAATGAATGAAACCATTCATCGGAGGTTCATAAGAGCTCCTTTGTCACATGGTACCAGTGTGTCATTAAACACTGTCTGCCATGGCACACTGTGGAATGGACTTAAGACTAGAAAGGTTGCCTGAAGGAAAGAGAATAAATAGAAGGTTAACCAAATACAGTCAAACTTCAGATACACAGCTAGGTTTGGACAAGGATTTCCTATGGTTTCTTATTCGGCTTTTATGTGGATACATTCCACAGGATTACATAAACAAAGGAGGCAATTGTAGAGCTGTGAAGAGGGTAGACCTTAAGGCTAGTTCCATTTGCATTTGCTCAGAGTTGCTGATTCAAATCCGGATTGCATTTTGGCTACTACACCGGTGGGAGGCCTCAGGGATTTCCATAGACAAGATTTCGGGTAGAACTTTTCAAGTTTTAAGTTTGTGGGATGATAAAAAGATATGACTCTCCATGCATCCAAGAAAAAAAGACTCTCTGCGTGCCATAATGCTTGAAGGATAGCTTTTTAAAAATTTTTTTTTATTGTGAGAATATTGTACAGAGGAGTTACAATTACATGAGCAAGATAAGGAGTACATTTCTTATCAAGCATTGTTGCCTCCTCTTTGTTTCCCCTTCCCATCCCTTCCTATACTCCCTCCCTCCCCTCACCCAATCCTCTCCCCCCCTCAAAGTTGTAAAGATGGCTTCTTTTTGTTACCAGTTGGTTTAGCTTTGCCAACTCAGAATAGTCCCTTGTGGCAAGAGATCTCACTCTTACATTTTGAAGGCCAAACTTATATCCCTTTAGACATCATTGTGATGGAGATGTGGATTTTTGACATAGGGTGTTTCAAAACCATTAGTAGTAGTTGTGTTGTTTTTCCCCTCTAAACTTGGCTTTATCAACTTCATTTAGAACTGAACATGTTAGAGATTTTCTTTCTTACAATCAGCCTTTAGACATACTTCAACATCCTGTTTCTCAGAAACTCAACTCAGATAATAGTGGTGCTTGATCTGACCCTTTTCCTTGAATATTCCCATTTAAGAAGACAAATCTTCCTGCT